ACCTCCAAGGTCCCTTCCAACTTTACTACTATTATTATTATAGTACCAGGACAACATTTTTGCATCAAAATGTGTTGAGTACTACATTTGATGAGTTTCAAAGCAGTTACCAAAATACCACTTTATTAGAAGATTTTTGTAAAATATTTTTTATCAAACACATTCATCTTTTTCCTACAATTCCTGTTATCCTCCTTTGGTCTATTTGGTTTCTTGGTTTCTTTCTTCCAATTATTGGCCATAACATTTAATATTTCACATGTTTACTTCTCTTGTCTGCCTAGCTAGTTTGTCCCAAACTAAAAGGCACTGGAAATAAGAGCTTCGGACCATCCAGCTGCCTCTAACTGTAGTAGCCTAGGCAGCTATAATGCTGAAACTAACTGCTGATTTATTGTAAACAAGGGATGAAGCTAAACCTTGCCAGGTTCTTCACCAACACCATAGCATACCTTAGTGAATTATAATATAATAATAATAATCTAAGTTAGGTTGAATATGCCCCTCCAGAAACCTCAGAAAGCAATGGAATTTTTTGATTGATTGGGACAAAGAACCAGAAGTGCAACAATAGAAATGAAAACTATTCTAACAAAAAAAAACCTCCTGTTTTCTGTACTTGCCCTAATCTTCATAAAGAAATAAACTATTGTATGAGTGGAAATCCCCTGATAGCAAACTTCTTTATTTCTCTCCTGGAAGGCTGGTATAATGGGGCTCCCGGACAAAATCTGTTACAGTACAGAACACCATTTAGGTGGATTGTGTGCTTAGATAATGTTGATGATTTAATGAAAATGACTTGCTTTCAGGTAAAGCTGATCAAGGTGAGATAATATGTTAGTTTCAGTACTACTCTGCTTGCTCTGTTCTGATATACTGTAAGTTTCATCCAATTATTAAAGAACATTGGAGCAAAACCCGATGAACAAATAGTGACTATAAAATACACAAACAATATCACTGAAAAGTAAAAGCTACTGTCAAAGAATAAAAAATAGGGTTGAAAGAAAACAACGGTATGAAGAACAGAGCTGGTTAGTTCTTGTGCTACATAAATGAATCACTACATTTTATTTGGATATACTGTACACGTTTGGGTCCTTTTATGTATACCATGATACTTTTATTCTTATTCTTATGTGTTCACAATATTTATGAACCATGAAAGTTTATGAGGATTTAAACCTTCTGTTCACTTCTTCTCAATTAATTCTGACCTAACACTAATGTGTCACATATCCACTTGTCTGCAATCCATACAGTTACCACTAGTCTCCACTTCTACATATTTAAATTCAACCCTTTTTATCACAAAAGGATTTCAACAACTCAATATTTTTTTAACTATAACCTCATTTGGATCACAACAAATGCAAGCTAAGGACTATATCTCCAAGCCTGTAGACAGACCTATTTCTAGCTCATTATCAGACTTGGACAGAAATTCTGTTCCCTTCCCCCTACATTCACCCCTATGGTCATCATTTGTCATGCAGTGAAATAACCTGCATAAAACCTAGCTAATTAAATCTTCTTTATTTTCTACTTCAGATCCAGGTGTATGACATAAAAGCAAGTAAAATCTTCATTGCTCATGTTGGGTACAATATTATACAAATTGGTGAGAGGCTGAAGGAAAAGACAGAGGTAAATTTTGTTCCCCTATGATATCATGTAAGTTATATATTTATATCAGCTGCAAGCCTGAATATTTGAATTGGAAAAATACCTTTTAATTAGTTAAGTTCCATCAGCCAGAATTAATACAAATGAAATTATTTGTTCACTCACTGGAATGTTTTGTGGAATCTGTCAAGAATGTCTGTTGTCTCCTTTTACATTTAATTTAAATTTGGAACTTCTGACTTGTTTGATTCAAAAGCTGAAGAGTATCTCAGGCAATAAGACGGTTGGTGGGTAAACTTAAATTGTTTTTAGATGCTGTTATACTTTTTTAAAAAATTATTAAAGTTCTCTATCAAAATTGATGGATGTAGTATATTTTGGTAAGTTATCAAGCTATTCAATTAAGTGGAATAATTCTATTATATATCCAATAGAATCTAATGTACCTATTGAAAGATATAAAAATTGGGACCTCATATAAAGTTTGTATTTTTTTAAGAATCTTGGAATTATTGTTTCTAGGAAAATCTCAAGGTCAGTAAAATATGTATTTCAAAATGTTTACCTCAAATTATTATTGATATTAAATGATCAAATGCTTTAATGGGAAAAAATTAAGTATGATTAAATTAATATCTATTTTTAGAGGTATGTGGATGTTAAATCTGTCTGGGTATTTTAAACAGATGAAAACGTTTATATTGGATTGATAGCTTCACCAGTTTTGTCAAAATAACAACTTTCTTATAGTGAGGGAGTTTTGATTTTCAGATTTAGTGCTTTATCACTGATATATATTTTCATATCTATCTGAGGTTATTTTTTTCTAAAGCCTTCATGGACACATCTTGATTACTGTTTGTTTTCCTTGGTATCTTGGCAGGGGTTTGGATCTATTTTTATTCTGTATCTCTATCTATAAAAGGAAATGTTTCCCATTAAAGACTGCAAGATATATTTGGAATATATTGAGAAAAAAGATTTTATTTCTAATCTCGTAATTGACAATTGGAACAATTTGGGATTGAGGGGTGTAGCCAAGACATCATATTGATAACTTAGCTAAACTTATTCTCTAACAACCTTATAAAGCATTTCAAGGAAGAACTTAAAAACTGATGAATGGAAATATATCCAATTAAAATGTTTTTGATTAACTGATTAATTGAATGCACTAGCACCATCTGAAACTCCTAAATAATTATTATTATGATTGGTCATCATTATTACATTGTTAGTATTTATTAACCTAATAATATTAAAATTTTAATTAATCATTAAATTATATTACTATTGAAGGAATATGTAAGATTCTAAAGCTATTTTAATTGACAGGATTATTGTAACAACGAAAGAAAACTGAGTTTTAATACTTTATGTAAATCGATTGTGTTAGTTTTAAACGACATATGTGTCTGTGTGTCTGCAAGCCTCTTAATCTTTAAACACTTTTCATTCAACCAAAAATATATATTTGCAATGTACTAAACACTTAAGATATTTAGTAAAGACTGGATGCCAACATTAAAATGTTGAAAATTTGAAATTTTAAATAGTGGAAAGGATTTTAATTTCACATTTTGAGCCTATCCCATCGAAGTTCCATTTTGGTTTAATGTAATTCATTTTCTCAATTCAACACTGAGAAGAGGAAATAAGGTATAAAGAAGTTAGTGTAAAGTTGAACTATATACCAGATATTTGGAACTTAATGATGTATGAAGAATCTAGATTTCCAGTGGACTGTAGTTAAAATCACTGCATTCTTTACTGGAATGACTCTGTGAAACTAGATCTTAAATCTCAGATTGTTAATCTGTGTTTATTTTTTATCTGTCAATTGGTTTCATATCAATTAGAGGAAAACTTACCAATTATTTTCTGTATAGTCAAGGTATAATTTGTTTCTTAGAAACTCAATTCATTTTATTTTTAAATCCATAATCTAATATATATTATTAATTGATATTATCTATGTATTTTTCCTTTTTGTTTTTTATATTTCCGTACCTTTTTGTTTTTGTATCTTTTTATTATATTAAGAGACATAAAATACTTTATTTAAAAAATAAATGTTCAGTCTTCTACAAACAATATAAAATAAGAAATTAGTAAAAAAAAATTAAAAAGTAAAAATACGAACAGTAGAAGTTAAAAGTGCTACTGCAAATTAGAGTAAATACCTATCAAAACAACTAAAAAAACTATTAAACCAGAAAAAATCAGTAATATTTGCTGTATTGATAAATAATCTTCCCCTTCCTGAGTAGTGGATTAAATAGAATAGGCACAGGGAAGAAAATTGTGGGGTATTTGTTTGTTTGTTTGTTTTGAACAAGGAGGATACAGATGGAATGAGACTGTTATACCCACTGAACAAAATTAATTCATGCAAAGAATTTGTATTGCAACCCATTCAGTGTATTAAAATAGAAAACTACAGGAAAAGATTGTTCCAGTTCAGCAAAGACGGGGGTGGAAAACTGGACTGGATCAATTCACATGCTGTCTTCCAGGCAGCAAAATGATCTCTATAGACAGGCAAGGATATATTCCCATGGTTCTTCCCCCAGTGCTGCAACCACTAAGTTCATCCAGCTCCCTGGGAATTTGTAATTTAATTTGCCTGGAAAATCTTCAAGCAATGGCTCCAGAGGAGCTGGCTTCACTCTTCCCTCATTCTAGAGGGTAAGGATGTAATAAAGCTTCAGACAGCCTCTGTTCAAACAGACCAGTAAAGTCTTCATTCCACAACTCCATTGCTGCTCAAGAAAGAAAGAATATAGCAATACAGTCACCGTTTCACAAAAAAAATGGCAATAAGGAGTCACCAAGAGCAGTAGGGCTTTCTTTTAGCCAAAGATATCTGTTTGGTTCCTTCCGCCTTTCCCATTCAGATAGATTTTTTTTTTCACAGATAGGGACATGTTTCTTTCATTTTTTCTAGTGGGTCAAACCACAAAGAAGTCAGTGTTTCAATTTGGTGTTGCTAAGCTTTTGGGGAACTTTGCTTCTTAAAAATTGCTTTAAAAATTGAAAGGCATAATTTCTGATGCCCTGATAAGCTTTGTGAACTGCACATGGTCTCTAAAGCATTAATTGTTCATCTCTATTGCAATTACAACAAAGTTATTTTTGTTGCTAAGGTGTATCTCACAAATATAAAGCAATTATTCATAGAAATAATAAACAGGTAGAACATCTATATAGAATACAAGCTACTGAGATCTCTGAATACCTTCAGGTTTCATTTATTTTTTTAAAAAACTAGCATTTCTTAAATTCATATTTATACCACAAACCATAAACAGTATATCATCACAAGCACGACTTGTGACATACATTCTTTTTAAAGTATCTAGTTATCTTACCTGTCACAATAGGATCTGATTGTGGTCCTGGGACACTGGCACCTATATCTGTTGATGTAGGGCTTGTTAAATTGGCCTTCATATCGTCTAATCCACCAGCTAGTGATGTCATGGCTGAATATTCTGTTGACTGAGTTCAAAGAAAAATGAGATAATTGAGTAATATTTTCCATCTATTAAATTCTAATATATGATAAAACCAAGCTAAGTGCTTCATTCCTATACTGGCAGTGATGGCCTTAGTGAGATGATAATGGTGATAATAGTGATTTTATACCTGAAGATTGATTTTTACTGTTCAGATGCAGCGTGAAATAAAACAGTTTCAAACTATGATGAGATATTGTGCCAACATGAATCCTGCAAGCTTCAGTATTGTGTTAACCAAAAAAATATTAGTTTCTCAGATTATTTGGTGGACAAATCACCAGCACTTCCTAATGTGAATCACAAGGTAATCTCAAAAAATGCATCTAATTATTGGGAGGAGAGCATGGGAAACTCTGCATCACTCCCACAAGCTTTCTGTAAAAACCATGAATTATTAAGCATGACAATAATATTGTTTGCTTTGTTTCATAAGGCACTAGCAGAAGTTTTGTTGTTTTTTTTAAAAAAAGTTTTTAACTGCAATGCATCCTCTGCTGGAGCACCCATTACAGAATTTCCATTTAACATGTTCCCAAAACAAGAAAAGTATTGTGAGACATGAAGACTTTAATCTTAGAATATGTCCCCATTATAATGCATTAAAATAAAACTGCATTTTGCAATCAGGTTGCATCTCACCAGTATACAAAAATTGATAAATATGAAATCATTCCTTCAAATAACAAACAGGTGGCAGTCTATTGCCAAGTAGAAAATTAATATTACAACTAGTAAAGAAATTATCAAGCCAACTATTATACATGAATGTAACAATTATCAAGCAATACATAGACTGTCCTGTTTACCTGACCTTTCGGTTAATGGTTTGTGTTGCATTAATTATGTTTGCTTTGGCTATAGTTACAGTTGTTTCTTGTGATTTATTGGTTTCAGATATCAGTCTGGTTTTTTAGCTGTGCTTTGGGTATGTCTGCATTTAAGCAATAACCTTAAGGATGTGCCACTGCTGTATTTTTGTTTTATCTTCTCATGCAGGACAGCAGCATAAAATATTTAAATAAGTATAAAATAGCTCAGAGAAAAAGCTAACAAGCTCCTCCTGTGCAAGGCAGCATTGAAATAAACTGTCTCTGTTTAAACTGACATAGATGTGCATTCCCTTGCATTTTTCCTTGGAAATTGAACTCTCTTATTTCATAGGGATATTAAAAGAAAAAATGGTGCTCTATATCTACTTAGGGGTATATAGCAGTGATGCATTATCTCTGGACTTTCATCCCAAAATGCCCACTCTGTCCAGGGTGAAAGATACTGTAGAACAGGGGTGTCTAATGGCCGGCCCACGGGCCGGTTGCATCATGCGGAGGCCGCACCCACCCCAGCTCCAGCAATGCAAAAAAAGTCATGATATGTCGCAACACGTCACGGGTTTGACACCCGTGCTGTAGAACAATCCCTTGTTTTATTTTCATTGCGGTTTCTTTAAAAATGCATTAATAATTTGTAACACCTCAGTTTTTTATTCGGGGTGAATTGGAATTGCAGTTGATACTTTGGCCAGACTGTTTTAATGACCACCTATTACCCACAGAGCATAAAACAAAATGCTCTTAGCATTTGTAGGATTATTCTCTTCAGAAATGTAGTTTTAAAATAAATAAAGATAACAAACCTATCTATGTATTTGTTAATAAGAATGCATGCTTTGTATATTATTTGTAAATGGATACAATTCTGTTGCAATTATTGAGGTGAATCCTGACTCCAGGTGATGTGGGCAATTTTAGACATGGTTTTTTTTTTTTTTTGTTTCTTTGTTTTGTTTTGTTTTGTCTTATTCACTGAAGGCATGTCAGATCTCCCAAATCAAAATTTGGGACCAGTTTGTCTTCCAGCTCTACACTACTATAAATGCAGCTGTAGCCCAACAGGGGACATAATCAGATTTTTTTCTGTTTGTTGGTATAAAATAGCCTGTTGCAATCCAGCTTTTTCGATATAAGTAATCCTCAACTTACAACCATTCATTTAGTGACAACATTCAAAGTTACAACAGCACTGAAAAAAAAATGACCATTTTTCACACTTATGATAGCTGCACCATCCCCATGGTCATGTGATCAAAATTCAGACACTTGGCAACTGATGTGTATTTATGGGGTTCTGACAAGCAAAGTCAATGGGGAAACCAGATTCACTGATCATCTGTATTACTAATTTAATAATTGCAGTGATTCACTTAACAACTATAACAAGAAAGGTGGGGCAAAATTCACAATAATTCTCTTGCTTTGCAACGGAAAGGTTAAACTCAATTGTGGTCATAAGTCAAGGATTACCTGTTACATGGAAAGATCATGGAGGCAGGGCCTCTTGGGCATAAGCAAGCTGCTGGATATACTGATAACAGACAGAGCAGGGGAGAGCACGCCTCAGGAAAATAAATTGCACAAAAGATTACTGGAACATGGTAAAAGTACTTTAAGTGATTTAGGTGTCAAAATACAGAAAAGAAAGAACAATATAAAACACGATAAGAAATTGGGAAGTCAGATTAAAGCTTGAAATCCAACTTGAAATACAAGAGGGGTAGCAAGTGTATAAAGAACAGTTCTGAGGAGAAAAAAATTCTCTCCCATCTTTGCTTATGGAAATAGCCAGGCTGGTCTACTTTTTCTAAAGATTTGGAACAGGTCTCTCACAATGATTCAATACAGGAGTATGTTGGGCGTAAGATTGTCTATTCAGAAAAATTATGAATTTATACAGAGAAATTATGAATGAAGGCAAATATATGTGTCCCAGGATAATGTTGCTATCATGATAATGATAGTGTTAATGTTGATAAATTATGGATTGTTGGCTCTCTAGGAAATAAAGGAGAGAGAATAGATATGTAGAGCTACAGAGAAGAAACAGATGTCCCTGAGGCAGATAAAGATACATATATGTATTTTTAACAATTTAAAGAAAATTCTCCTAACAAGACAAGGTGCACATGCCTACCTGTCCCTCATGCTATTTCTTTCTGGAGTAAGCAAGTTTATGCAATGCACAGAAAAGGAGTGAGAAAGAATGTAAAGATTGAAATAGGAAAAAATCCCAAGAGGAAACATGGCTAAAACTAGTTTGCACCAATACCATTGTTATATCTTTCCATACCTTTCCATTCCGGCAAGCTAATCTTCCTCCATACAGCACTTTGTATACTGCCGTTTGTTCTTGAACTCTCTTTATTTTTGTGGACTTTGTCAACTCTGTTCAACCTCTAGTTTCTTGGTCTCCTCCCCTTCCTTTGAGCCCATTCAATCTTCCTTCAAATATCTGTTTTGCAATGCTAGCCTCGTTTATCTGTATGACTAAATCACCTTAGTGTATCGGTACACTCACTTTTGCATTTAATTCACATTTCATCCCGCATCCAAACATTCTTGATTCCCTCACTTCTTGATTTGCACTCACTGTTCTTACGTTACCAATTCTTGCTGCATTTAAATTGCTTGTATGTTTTGCCTGGCATAACCAAGTCTCATTTCCAGAGAACCAATTGGGCAGAAGCTTACTCTTTCAACATTCATTTCTCCCAGCAGATGATATCTACCCAACAGCTTTCTTCCACCAGCACTGGCATAATTTAAAAATTCTCCATCCTTTTTCCTACATTCTACTGAGGTATGTAAACACAAATTTACTTCCTCTAGTTTTTGTCATTTATGTATAACTCGTATTCCTTCACCTTTCTCCCTGTTTAATCTGTCAATCTAACTCTTTGCTACATCAATTTTCAGATCCATACTTCATTTTGCACCATTAGTCTAACATTCCTTGCAGATTATTCTGCTTCTCAGCCAGCAATCAGCCATCATCTTTATGTGCCCTAACAAAAATACTTCTTATATCACTACAAATATTCCACATACATTTCTCCATAAATAGATTAACAACAAGGGGACATCATATATACTTGTCTTTCTCCCTAATCAATGCTGAATCATTTGTTCACCATTCTATTTATTCCCATTCATGTTTTACTTCCATCCTTTTTTATTCCACTAGCATTCAGCAATCAAATTTCAACTCTGTAGTTGGGAAAGACATTCCATAATTTAAATTTATTCATTTCAGTTCTTTTGTTTAACCAATATTCAGCAAATGTTCTTTTTTTTTTTTTTTGCATTCATATGTTCTCAATGTCTTGTTGAAGAGCACAAACTGGTCTGACACAAAGCTGTTCTGTACTTCCCAGATTCTTTTTCCACTTCTTGGACATTTTTAGTCAGATTTTAGTCAAACACATAACCAAGCACACTAATCCCCTTGTAGATTTTGTATTCACTCTTTCAATATTTCTCCTTGGTAAAAGGGAACAATAAGAGCATTCTTCCCATATTTCCCATACTTAATTAACATTTGTAGAATTTGTTTCAGCTCTACTTTTCAACATATCAGCATATACAGGAAGTCCTCAAATTACAACCTCATTTGAGCCCAAATTTTTTGTTGCTAAACAAGATATTTGTTAAGTGAATTTTGCCCCATTTTATGCCACAGTTGTTAGGCGAAACACTGCAGTTGTTAAGTTAGTAGCACAGTCGTTAAGCAAATCTGGCTTCCCCATTGACTTTGCTTCTCAGAAGTTTACAAAAGTTAATCACATGGCTCCAGGTCACTGCAACCATCATAAATATGAGTCACTTGCTACTTTGATCACGTGACCATGGGGACACTGCAAGAGTCATAAATATGAAAAATGATCGTAAGTCACTTTTTCAGTGCGGTTGTAAGTTTGAATGATACCAAAGAATTGTTGTAAGTCGAGGACTATCTATACAACATTGAGCCATTGGAAGTCAAGTGGTTTAATATATGATTATGATTATATCACTGTCATTCCTATTCCAACCTCTAAAATAATCCTTCTAGCAGTTCCTCAATTCAGTTTCCTCCCATATCTTTTCATCACTTTTTCTTTTAATTTCCACTCAGTTTGCTTACTTCTAAATTTTAGCTTTCCAGGAA